CCAAAGGTCTTGAGAATATAGATTTTAATTTGATAATGACTGGATGGAACCTGTTATGTTCTTAAACCTGGTGTAATTTGATTCCTACGAAAGTCTTTGTTCGAATTTTGGGAAAAATTAACTTTGTTTTCATATTTTCAACATGAAATGGGGTACATTTGGGGGTTAGTTGCTATATTATCTCCCCATCTTACTAACTGGAAGTTTAAAGATTGGGCACCCTCTAATAAAGTGGAAATATATAAAAAAAATACAATACACAATGCTAAAATTAATGATATAGGTCAAAAAAAATATTTACATGTATATGATCTACAATGAGACACGACATTGAAATAAAGAAGAGTTTATAGAAAGAGTAAAGATTGTAAAGTAGAATTACAGAAGGATGGCGTATTTTTATTTTAAAAATTTTGGTTTGGTCGGTTAAAACATATTTTCAATTTAATGTATTTCGCTAAGTTAAAATACTTATACTCGCTTTATCGCATTGTTACGATTTTGTCGACCTAGTTGGTCAATATATGCTTGTCCCATGTCGGGAAGAAAAAAACGCATTTTTAAGTTTATGCCATCTCAGGGCTTTTTTGAAAAAATAACGCTTTTGGATACAATTTTTGTTTAACGAGCTTATTATTTCACCGTTCTATATGACGGCTTTGTAAATAATTAAAAGTATGACTCGCTCGAATCTACTTTTAGAAAGCATTTTAATTCTAACGAAATCTATTTAACCGAAAAGGAATGCTAACCACAAATATTCAATAATATAAATCTCTTGAAAGGTTTTGAAATCGGAATATTCAAAGTTGTTACCATTAATTGATTTATAAAAATTGAAAGTCGATTGAAACGCCATGTATATATTAGAAAAAGAAGTACTTTACCTTAGTATTAGTGGAAGAATGAAAAATGTCTGTCTCAATGAGAAGAAAAACCTGAAAATCATGAAACAAATTGTAAAATAACATGCTCCTGATCTGTATATCCATTAGGTATGCGCGACAATTTCTCTATTGTTCGGAATAGAGCGCGTGATTTACCGTAAAACAGTCCATAGAGTTCATTGTTTTCAACAGTTCGTTTTTGATTATGTTTTTCACCTCGAACATATATCATGTTCTAAAAGAGTTCATTTCGATCGATGTTCAATACAGTCCATATTCATGATTTTAACGTTTCCAGAGTCCGTTACCATAGTTCAACTGTTTTCAATTGAGATTATTGTCTTTTCATAATGTTTCTGATTATATCGGCTTGATAGCAATTTGCTACTTCAATCGTTGTTCCAGGCAATTTGAATCTCCCCGACGTTCGTAAGTTCGCACGTTTTGTAGAGACGGTTTTCGGCAATTGTTGAAAACTTTCGCTTGGTCAGCTTTTTCGTTGTTCCGTCAAATTGTTGCCTGTCCTGATTATTGTCCGTTGATCTGGTCCGTTTCAGAAGGTTAATTCAAGTCGGTTTTGTCACCATTTATAGCATTAATATGATTGTTAGATGAATGTGATGTTACCGTATATTGCTAATTTGTAGATTGGCTCTGACTTGCAAGTCACCCGTTCACCCTTCAGCTTCAACGCCCACGTGAATGAAGATGCGTTAAAAATCTCTATATGTTTTTATTCGTAAATTTCCACAACACACAGAATACAGTTCTTAAAACATTTATCCACCCTAGCTTAGAATGGTTTACATCGTCTTCCCTCTATCGAAAGATATCGGAGTCGTATTTATACGTTGATCATAAATCCAATTAAATGCTGTAAACGTGAGCTCGTGATTCACGTTATAAACAGAAATTCCTATTATCTCAACAAGGGTAATTATGTACATCGTACGGATGGGAACTTAGATATAATTATTTCAATCAGTGCCAAAGGTCTTGAGAATATAGATTTTAATTTGATAATGACTGGATGGAACCTGTTATGTTCTTAAACCTGGTGTAATTTGATTCCTACGAAAGTCTTTGTTCGAATTTTGGGAAAAATTAACTTTGTTTTCATATTTTCAACATGAAATGGGGTACATTTGGGGGTTAGTTGCTATAGTATTGCATTTATTTTGTCATCAGTCGACACGACTGCGGGTTACGCGGACCAATGACATAAAAAGTCATTGCGCGTACGAAGATCAATATGGCATGACATTTCAAACTTTTGTAACGGTCATGGATTAAGTATTTCGCGCAACAGATTTTTTATCAGCTAAGAAGTCAGTGATGTTATCGTAGCGTGTAGGTCAGTAGTTCTCAACCTGTGGTCCGCGTACCACTGGTGGTACGTGGGAGCTTTCCAAATGGCACACGAGCAGCTTTTAACTATTGCAACAATAACTTTTGAGTTGGCTAAAATATGGCTGAAACAATTTTTCTTCATCTCACATGTTTAATGTATTTGCTGAAAGGGTTAGGGTTACCATTCCTTGTCCTTATAGAATATAGATCGTCCTCGTCCGATACTACCCATCTAAATAGAAACGAGACGGCCATGTTTTCAGCCGTTTTACGTGTTACGTTCACAATGCATCTGAATTGAGAAATCGGCAACGAATGGAGCGTTCTTTGGGAGTGGTCAACGCGTGTCGAGATACCCCAATGAGCATATATATAGCGCCTTGATACATCATAAGGTTGTTATTATTGCTATCTGATGTATGTGTTGGATGATCGGCATAATCTTGGGTTTTGAGGCTAATTAATTTGACTAGGTTAGGCAGTTCTTGATAGCGGCTAACGCCGACCAAAGTATATTCGTCTTAGTTTTGCCATAATTCGATTCGTTTTGCGATGATTCAAGACTTTCAGCTCTGACGGTAGACGGCGCAAATTCTCTCGCGATTCTGCACGCAATTAATACTGCATATAATTAACACATTGAAACTTTGCATGGAGGACTAAAAATGGATGTAGTGCCACATAAAATACTACCATAACGCGTTGATTGTGCCATTGTTCCCTACTACAAAAGGGGGTTTTGTCGGTGGTACGCAGCCAGGGTAAAAACATTAAAAGTGGTACGCGGCTAGTAAAAGGTTGAGAACCACTGGTGTAGGTAGACTGTAGGCTATTTCATAAGCCGTTGCATGTAAATTCACGAGGCTCTGAATGCGTATCTTAAACCTCGTTCTTTTGTTAATCCTGACTGCACGCACCCCTGTAAAATTCCTGGAAGATCGTCAAGATCGGCTCGGATACCACGGAAGACAAGAGAGCTATGCTCAAATATATGGACATTTAGAATAAAACGAAATATATTATCATCACTGCACCGAAAACCGTACGGCCCGTACCCTGCGCCTTCGTTACGGTAATCTGCACGAATCTGAACAGTGAAACAGCTACAGTGAAACTGACTTACTAGTACTTGGGTACAAATAACGGTACCGGTACAGGGACTGTCATAGCTCTTCCCTGTCCTGTGGTAATGATCTTTTCTTCTCCATCCAATTTCAACGTGAATTGAAATACCAAGTGATCCGAGTCACTTCTCATTACGGTACCAGGCCGAAATAAGAAGAAAATATCGATTCCTCGATAAACATATGCGGTACGGTATCTCACCAGTAGGCTACCTGATATTCGGACTATCGCCGTCGTGAGAGGCTTCACGTAGGCTCTGGCCGGTTACGACTATATCCCCCATCCCAATCATGTACCCGAAGAACGAACTGGGTGAACTATTCCCATACTTGACAAGGACTTGTAACCAGACGATAGGCCATAATTCGCCATATGATTGAACAGCATTGTCGTCTTTCCTCTTCATGATAAATATGAAAATCCTATGCCAATTCAATTACCACTGAGAGTCGGACAACACTAAAAGGCTGAAGGAAGAAACGGATGAAGTGGAGGAAAAACGGAAGTTGAAGTGTTCCCAAAGGTGAAAAATTAAAAAACACTAAAAAGCTGAACACTAAAAGGAAGAAGTGGATGAAATTTTTTCCGACGAATAATGAGGTGGTTGAATTCACTAAAAAGCTGAACACTAAAAAGAAGAAGTAGATGAAATTTCTTCCGACGAATAATGAGGTGGTTGAAGTCACTAAAAAGATGAACACATTGTTGATTATCGACCTAATTTTGCGCTACCGGCAGACCGGTACCGGTACCGTACCGGCACATGTTGATATTTCAAAGTTAATCTGTCAATCAGCATGCTTCTGTGATTATGCGCAGCATAGGTAGCCTTACAGCTTTAGTTAGATGGTAGACTTTGAACAGAGCATGAAAAAATTATTAAAATGACGATTTCAAAGCTCTGTCAGATTCGGTTCCTTACTGCCTTATGATATCACTTGATATAGGATAGGATTTACATATTTATCCCGGGCGAGAGGAAAGGTGTTGAGACGACTTAAACATACGACTAACCGCGGCTTCTCGTCCGGTTACCATTCCATCTCGAGTATTGGATTAGTTAGTTATTTGTTTTCGGTAGCATGGACTTGATGGGGGAGGAGTAAGGCATAACCGACCAGCGGTTACGTGAACCACCCTACGGCGGCGAGGAGCCCAGCAATCCTCTCGCACGTAATTATCTTCGCATGGGATTCGAACCTGCAAACCCACGCAGAGTAATCATAGATGCGGTGACGAGCGTACGGTATTCCTAACGCTTAGCTCAATCCGCCGCGTAGTTGCTTTATTATTCCAGTATTAAGTTATTGGTATGGTGAATATCCTTCCAATTCTAGCGATCCAATGTACAGATGAAACTAGACAAAAAATATTGGTACAATAACAAAATTCAACTAAGTCTAGTAAATTTCTGTCATTAATGTTTGTTATGCTGTGGGTAAACTGGCGCATGTATATTTACATGTATTAAACCTTTATAAAGGTTTTGCCAGTTTCCCCGATTTTCCCAATCTTCTGTTTGTTCATTGTTTGTGTTTTGTGTATGATTTTTGTTGCGGGAAAATCAAAATATACCTATAGGCTACTTATTATTATACTTATGCTGCATACAAAAACAGAGCAGCACACTCAAACTATATTATTTACAGATTAGCCCGCCTTACTTTTTTCAGCTATTTTTGTTTCGTATCTTTAGGCGTCCACTATCTTAGAAATTAGGTACATTTTGGTAAAATGGCTCCACTTACCAGAATGTTAACATTGAAGAAATTCATCCCAAGAATGCAAATGAGAAGTCTTTCAACGTCAACCAACCTTGAAAGTGATTATTTACATAAAAGCATTTTGCCAAGTTACCATTTTCAAAATTGTCTTCCGAGATTACCAATCCCAAAGCTAGAGGATACTATGCGACGGTACGTGACATCTCTAGAAGCTCTTGAAGGACATCCCGAGATTAGTGCTCATGATATTGAGTCTACGAAACGCGGAGTTTACTCTTTTTTACAAAGTGAAGGCCAAAGGCTGAATAAAATATTGATTGATACAGATAATGCAAACCAACATACTAATTACATCTCGAAACCATGGTTTGATATGTACTTAGAAAGCAGATTGCCACTCCCTCTGAACTACAACCCATTCATGGTAATAAATCGAGACGCAAATGAAGCATTAAATAATCAGCTAGTGCGTTCAACAAACCTGATTATTTCCACATTGCGGTTTTATAAAACTTTGAAAGATGAAGTCCTGATGCCAGAAGTTTTCTACACCAAACAAACAGCGAAGTCACCTCTTGTACAAAACATGGTCAAGTTTCTACCAAATGCTTTCAATCTGCGGTACATGCCAATGTATTTGTCTGGTGCCTACCCATTAGATATGAGCCAGTATGGGAATCTATTTTCATCCACTCGTATTCCTGGGGTTGGGAGGGATCGATTACGGACCTTCCCAAAGAGCAAGCATCTTGTTGTCTTACGAAACGGCCATTTTTATACGTTTGATGTTTTAGATGAAAATAACAACATCCTTCCTGTGGAGAATATTATGCAAAATTTGAAATCGATCTTAGAAGACAAAGTGGCCAAACCTCAACATGAATTGGCTTATCTATCATCAGAAGATAGAGATACTTGGGCGAATGCAAGAGAGCACTTGCTTCAATCTGGTAATGTCACTCAAATTGGATCAATCGATTCAGCCATATTTTGTCTTGTGTTAGAAGATCAGAATTGTGATGTTACAAACATTGACCAAACAACAAGCATGTTTCTATATGGAGATGGAGGTTCTCGATGGTACGACAAAAGCTTTTCCTTAGTTGTTGCAAAAAATGGTGAAACTGCAATCAATTTTGAACATGCTTGGGGTGATGGGGTTGCGGTAGTTCGATACATGAATGAAATTTATGATGACACCATCAATAATCCTAGAGTAACTTCCCCTGATTTCATTGAGACAACTCCCAAAGTTCAAAGGTTAGAATTCAACTTGGATGATCAAGCAAAATCTACAATAGAGAATGCCAAAGCAAGGTATATAGCAGACACTGGGCGTCTGAAAGTTGCTGGACAAAAGTACGATAAAATGAGCAAGGAGTATTTGAAAGCGAAAAAAATTTCACCTGATGGTGTTTTGCAGCTCGCAATCCAAATTGCTCACAGACGTATGTATGGGTATCCAGCACCAACTTATGAATCATCCAGTACTTCAGCATTTAAGCATGGCCGTACAGAAACAGTCCGCTCTTGCACTGTAGAAGCCCAAGCCGTTGCTAAATACATCACAGAAAAAGGTCTCAATGATACAACCAACTTATCAGAGTTGAATACTCTTATTAGGGAAAGCTGTAAAAAGCATAATTCTCTTACTTTTGAAGGAGCAATGGGGCTTGGATTCGATCGACATATGTTTGGTCTGAAATATACAGCAGCTCAAACGATGGGAAAACTGCCGAATATTTTTGAAGACCATGTCTATAAGGTGATGAACCATATTATTTTGTCAACTTCTACGCTTGACACAAATTCCATCGCAGTGGGAGGATTCGCTCCGGTGGTTCCAGATGGGTTTGGCATTGGATATGGATGCAGAATTGACCATCTTGGCTGCAATATCACGAGTTATGAAAAGGATGTTCAGAAGTTTGTTGATACTATAATGGAATCTTTTGATAATATAAGGACTGTACTAGAATCACAGTAAATTCAAAGTTTTTTCAAACAGTATATCAGTTTATATCATGTGTTATTTCACCAAAATCGAGCCCAATAATTTTTGGGAATGTTGAAGTGCTTTCATTTATTCAGGACTAAAGTATGCCAACATATAGGCCTACATGATAGTTGATTCAAATATTTTTATTTAATCTTTGTCATTATTGAGACAATGAACATGTTATTAATAATTGAGGAATGCTATTGTAGTGTAAGGGGTACGACCATGTGTTGCCTACTCAGGTGCATATCATATTCCTCCTCTGCCTAAACTAGTTAATATGAAGGCAATTTGAAGCATTGCAGCAAGAGTTTTACCATGAAATAGACCTCGGGCTTTGATTCTAGCTACGACCTCACACCATAATCACTAACATCAGGAAGATCTATGCTATGGGGTAGTAGTTATTGCGGCATAGCACTAGCTTAATAGCGCCGATTAAAAGGTTGTGCTGGTGCTCTGTTTTTTTCACTTTGTGTGGAGCCAAAATATATGAAATTATAATAATCTATGAACAAAATAACTCATTCTCAGTGAGTATGAACAATTCCAATATATATTATTTATGGCATTGGCAATGTATCAAAAAAATCAAAATACAATAATATCTAAAATTCAAAAATCAAAATATAACATTATTTAAAGTTAATTGTTAAATTTGTCATATTTTGAATTTACTGAAAAATATGATTTGCTGAGAATATATGAAAATCCAAATTAATTGCAAGTAGAATACTGAAGGCCTCTTTATTGATATTCCTAAGTGAATGACAAAAAAAAACTAAATAACAAATTCATTCATTTTTTTTATATCTCAAGTACAATCTTCATCATATGTATTACCAATTTTTAAAATGATATTACCGGTACTTTGCTGCTGGAATAGATTTTCCAGTTTGTTTCGGAGTTTTCTATCCTGTGTTCCCAAAGTTCATATTATCTTGCAAACTATTCTAAAATATTCTCTAAATTTCTTATTTTGGTTTCAACTTTCAAAAAGTAAATTGATTCTAACTTAATTTTACACTGTACTAGTAAATTGTGATTCTTATATTATAGTTAAAATTGTTATATTTGCATATAGGATGAATTTGTAACATGTTTTTTAAAAGTGTTCACCCAAGGTCGCGTAGTATGAGAAAATTTATATCAGAATACAATCCTGAGCTATTCAAAAAATGACTCCAAATCCTTGCTTATAAAAATATTGGCTCTGACCTGAGGGTTGAAAGCTCCAAACTCCAATAAAACCGAATATTTTGGCATGTGAAAGCCTTTTTTAAATGTCTCTTGAGAATGTCACTAACCAGTCTTTTTTCTAGTCACTAGTCAGTGCTTATTTAGTTTCTGTCAAAAATTTTGATTTCAATTATCACCATCAGAAGTACGAAATTCCAATTCAAAGACTCCTGACTGTAGAGAGCTACGAATTCAATATCAATGAAAATATGCCACAATCCCGACTACACAGCCCTGGTTGTGCCTACACTCTTTCTCAAGTAGCTTATAGGGCTTTGACGGCTGTTTTAAACATAACGTAATACAGGGTGTCCATTTACAATTTCAATTTTGTTATGAAGTCCGTTCTCAATATATCTTAACCAGGTTTGTTGTTCATTTAATCAGTAATTGCTTAAGTAATTTTACTTCATTCAATACATCTGTGAGGGCCAAAACAATATATGGTATGGATAAATTTTCTTCGCAATTTAACAAATTTTTAATTAAGACCCTATGGACACCTTATATTTCTGGTTTATCATTACCTGCTCAGTTGTGAATGATGAGACAAGTTAACTTGGTTATCTGCACCATCTTTAAACTCGGGCATGGATTATTTAGACACTAGTTCCTTATGCATAAAATGCATGTTAAATAAACTGTTCCTTTTTAAGGTTTGTTTTCTACACATTGAAGTTCAAATATCAACTAGGTTTAATTTTCCTACTCTGCAATTACGTCACAATATATACATCACAAGCTTGCTACAATGTCAGATTTACTAATTGATATGTCCCAAATATAGTTTGAAATGATGACTGCTAGTCTGCTAATCCGTCCAACCCACTGTCAAAATATATATTTTTGGGGAGTATTTCTACAGACAGCGAAGATTTTTCAAGAATTTAGATAACTTTGTCCAAGTAGATCAACAGAATTTGTGTATGTTCCAATTTTCTATTATAAATTTATTTTCAATAATTTTCTTGCTATTCAATATTCTATTTGATTGTTTTTCTGCAGCATTAATTTTAAATAAGTTTAATTTAGTGTTTACTCTAGTTTTCAAGAACTTGAACTCCATGCACTGAACGATACATACTCTGGAAGTCACTTTCGTCTGTGAGGTGAAAAATGGAATGATGGCTTTGCCTCTTAGGGCTCCCATTATGAAATGAAGTTTTCCAATAGAAGTACATTGATATTGCTGGATTAAATTCTAGATCTTGATTTCAACGCACGAACACTTCCACCGGCTCAAATATGTGAATCAGAATTTTTTTCTGGTAACCAAACAATAGTCTTCAGTTTGCCATATGATTAGTCTTGTCCACTTCCCTCTCCTCCTGGAGCAAATATAGAAATCCTATGATAATGTGATAATACTAAGAAACCGAATGATAATATTAAGAATTCCCATTTGAAATGTAAAAAAAAGTTTGACGCGACATGCCATGTGATAATTCTGTCCAATTAGCTCACAAAACGTTATCGTTCGTCGCCGAGCTCTTATGAAGATGCTTCAAACCAACCAATACCCATAGAAGCTAAAATTAACGTCATTCGCAAGAAAATACTGTGAACTGAATCTATATTCGATATATATATATTTGTTTTTTGTAGAAACATTCACAATACGACGTTTTAACGTCGAGCTTTTCTCTGCATAAACGCGAGAGTAACTTTTTCTGTCGAAACATCAATTTTCCCATACGTTAGAAGCAGGGCTAGGCCACTCAGTCGGGTTTGTATGGTGGTGTTCCGTAAATATGTTTTAAAGCCACGTAGCAGCGAGAACTATCTTTCAATAGATGCAGTTGTAACCGGAAGTGTGGAAATAATTTGCAGTAATTCCCGAATGTTGGAGTATGAAGCATGGCGTTTTTCGACAGATCGGCCGTGTCCACTTGCTCCTCCAGACTCAGTCCAGAGCATTATTTTACTATCTAAACTCTAAAGTAATCTGAATCTTTGAGCATGTGATGATGCATCATCATGTGAAACGGAAAATACTGTTGTGCTTTCCGAAACGCTCTTCTTAAGTTCAGAGATTGTCTTGTTCGGAAAAAGCTTGAACACACTACGTAACTTCTACGTTATGCTGTTTTGGACATTGTGAATCTCCGATATTGGGCCATTGTGCTAGATTGAAAACTATATCATAAATACCGAACTCGAAACAATTATTTGTGCCCACGATGTACCTGCTAATCTATTCTTAAATTACCGTCTAGATTACACTCGACTTTTTTTTATCAGATTATGATGTCGTATAGGCTAATCGATGTGTATGTTCAGTCAATTTTTTATCGTACAAAATTAAAATTGTAATCTGGGATTTTGCCGCGGGTCTTGGGAATTTTGTAACGGCGATAACGAATTCGCAAAATCGCAAGCATTAAAATCAAAACTTGATGTAATTGTACAAATTTATCACGCATTCCAATGTACGCCGATTGTCCTGCTATTTATACAGTAAAAATAATGCTTTTATTTTGAGGTAGGTCGACGAAATCGCGAGTTATGCCGAAATCCTGCAAACGCACGGCCGCACATTTCACCTCCGACGTAGAGCCACAGGTTGGACACCCCTGCTCTAAACCCACGCCAGTCAAGCGCAGAGATTTTACAACAAGCGGAATTTGGTGATCGTTGGTCTTTGCCCTGATTTCGTTGAAAACTTTTCATGTGCCATATCTAACATATCGTGTACAACTAACTTTCCTCAACGTCGTTGGGCATTTGACAACTGCCTGTGATGTCGAAATCTTTTGACTGCAGAATAACTGAAGGCCGAGTATGTTGTACAGTATTCGTAAATCGCAAATGAAATCTGTGTTCCTTGTCCTGCATCTGAATTTATCAGCAGCAACTATGCCTCCGCGTTCTGCTATCGGCCCCAAGAGTATGTCGACTTTCCGAAAGGAGTGGTAGTGATAGCATTTTTGATAATTCGGGTGCGTTTGCGAGTATCAGTGAAAAAATGTTCGTTCTTTTCAATCCTGCGTCTCCACATATGCGTATGATAGCACCAGGTTTAGCGAATGCCAGCAGCAGTTTGGGTAAGATTCAGATATGTATTTTCGTCGTGCAAAACCAATACACGATATGAAATAAATAAAGGCATAAGCTGTTTGGACATAAGCCTGTAGGCCTACTCCACGAAAACAGCCTTACAATGTTGGCGGCGTCACCATTTCTCTTGCCTACAACAAACCCTGCTTATGAGTGGCGACATCAGCAATCCTGCGAAATCTTGGTCAGACAAGTTGACAGCTTTGACGATTCCGAGGAAATACCTCGAAGGTTGCAGACACCATGCTAAACCCGAACCTATCTCAAACGGATGGAAAATTGTTTATGACGTCCGATATCACTTGTTTCATCAGCAAGAACGGGTTTCTTATACCCTCAAGACACATTTCCTCGACTAAGTGATTCGGTCTAACTTGGCATTTAGAAATTTCATAACCGCGATACCGCAATTGTTGTTGTACACCAGGGCTGCACAACCCGTGGGCCTCGTACGACCCGCCAGACTGATTACTGCGGCCCGCCCGGAGTTCGGGATAAGTTGTATAATGTAGGACAAACTATCACACAATAAGTTTATAAGGAAACTTCAATTTTTTTTGTATTCGAAATAGGCTGAAGCAGAGATGGCCATTTCCGAATACTAAACTATTCCGAATACATTCTAAAATTGAAAATAACACATTTTTGTTTTAGTTTATTAAAACCCAGTAAATTAGGAAATAAGCTTCAATAGAAATATCAGAATGAAGCCACAAACCAACAGTATATGTACACAAAGTAATTGATAGTTTATAGCTATCAATAAAAAATAATAGCAACTTGTGACACAGTCAGTTTATTAAAATTATTCACTTTGTACAAATGACTATATGAAAAGATAGCCAAGGAGTTGTCTGACGCTTTCTATCATTGGTACCATGATATTACGATAATAGTCGAGTCTATTGACAAAAATACTACTTGTATTCAGATAGTTGTGTAAATTTTCTGAGAGTAATAAAACTTATTGGCAATACAGGCAACAACAATCGAAAATCCATTATGCCTTTAAAAATTCTAATATTTAAGCCTAGAGTATTCTACCACCTACCAGTATATTTGTATATTAATTTATGTTAACCATATTGTCAGTGGCGGCGCGTCAATAGGGCCAACCGGGGCAATGCCCCGGTTGTTTTTTCGCTATAATAAAAAATATTCGAAAAATACCTCAATATCGGTTGCACCAATGACATTAAACATGATAGGCAACTCTGACGTCACTCCATAAGACTACAGGCAAAACATTGTATTTTATGATACGCTCCAATGCACATATTTCTCGTCGCCTTTCGCGTCCGTTTTCCGCTCGCTTTTGCTACTCGGCGTCTTTTTTACGTGTAGTACCTGCCTTTTTGCGCCTGTAACGAAACAAAATAATTTCTATATCTAAGAAGTTTTGCTTACTTGGAAAGCTGGAATAACAGGCAAGCTGTAAAGAGCAATTCTGGACATCATAGACGTTTTTTTTTTATCAGAGAAGATTACAAACGCGATAGCGGAAAGATTTGTGTGGATCATTTTGCAGATAATGACAAAGTTCAAAGTTAGTAATTTTAATGTTTGCGCTTAATCATTGAAATTTCATTTAAAGAGGGTGTCATACAAAACTGTGCTGCGATACAATTCCATAACACAAAGTTTGCACCTATCGAACTTGCTTTTGTAGGTGAATTTATTAGACATATTACATATTCAGTTAATCGTAGGTAACATTGCTGGTACATAATGCATCGTAGATAGGTTTGTTTAAATTTAGGAATTTAGCTCATAGCCCACTAATTAATATTATCTTCTATGCAGGAGGTTGCAGGGCTGAATTCAACTTGCAGCCTTACCGATCACCTGACGATGCTCATTTAGTTTGGCTCGAGCAAGTCTTCTTGAAATGCTTGTGTGAATGGAAACTACCTATATTTTTTGCCTTCCTCCGATTTTAGACAAATTTATTCTGAGGGATTTCGCATATAATTCTCACTGATTGTTGGCTGTTTATAATTCCTATTGATTGTGAATTCTGATTATAACAATGAGTTGAAAATTTTTTTACCTAATTTACTGGCACCTTTTTCTTGTCAATACTCCAAGCTGAGGTAATAAACATGACAATACATTTATGTAATCTGGAAGCAAAATATGCACACAAATTAATAGTTTGGCACATTGAGATAATACATCATGACAGAAAATACAAGTTAAAGATATGTATGACCATCACATGATAATTAAAATTAAAAAAAATTAATAGGGGCTGTGGAGTATGGAAAGTTCAAGACAAAGAAAAGAACAAATGTTCATAGAACATAGCTCATATATTGTGATGCAACTAAACAGTTGGATTAAGTTTTATTATTTTCTTCAATTTCAAATGCAATTACATATTAATATTTGCATTCCACTATTATTGCAACATTTGCAAGTTACAGTATTTATTATAAAAAATCGTAAAATTCTATGTACAACCATCAAAATCATTTTTGAACAAGCTTTGAATAAGGAAAGAATAATACATACACTAAAAATAACTTAATCTAAATATATGAACCTAAAATTAACAAAAATACTACAGTATAAACTCAATGTTTTAATAATTACATTCGTCCTGGCGTTTGGCATCTTTTTTGTGTCACCAGCATACTAAGGCCAGTCTGAAATGATTTTATAGTACAAACTCTAACTAACGAGGCCACATGATCATGGGTTTATCTGAATCTTTACGAATGTTTAATTAATTCCAGTAATGCAAAAAAGTTACTTTTATCATTCCATGTATAGATCAGTAAAAAAACAAATGACAGATTTTTTCGACAAGACTTTTCGCACTACCTTGCGTGGCATAGGATTGCTTGAATTATTATTGATATTGATTTTTAGTAACTAAGTCGTTGTATAATTATATTAATATACAAACACATGGAAATTTTCTGTTCGAAGTTGGTCTTCGAATT